GTATTTATTTATTTATTTATTTATTTATTTATTTATTTATTTATTTATTTATAGCCTATATTTCAGCTTTTTACTTCTAATTTTGACAGTTTTGGTCCTCTACAGTTTATCTGTGGTGGTAAAACAAAGTAAAACGGTAAATATCCAAGATGTCTGAAAACATGAGCACAACTTTCTTTTTAGTGAAAGATTTTTATTATTRTTTTTTTTTTACTTGTCTACCTCTGATGACCCTCCTGTGTGTGTGAGCAGAACGTGATGCTCCTCGGGGACTTTAACGCCGACTGCGGCTACCTCGCCAAGAAGAACAGGAAGAACGTGCGCCTGATCACAGACCCCAGTCTCCACTGGCTCGTACCGGAGAACAGCGACACCACCGTCAAACTGAGCACTTCCTGTTCCTACGACAGGTGAGTCCAGCTGAAACACCTGAGATCTTCTGAAAACTCGTGAAGGAACCTCAAGGATTTTTTCAGCTGGTTGAGCTTGTAAATATTAAATAAAATAATTTTATTTCTTTAAGTTTGGGATTAACAGAAATGAAGGAAATAATAATAATAAAAAAACTGACAAAACAACCGCACGCTTCATTTAAGGTTTTATTTACTGTTCACAGTATCGTTGGTGTTGTTTTTATACATGTTTCTTTAAATATGAACATATTAATAAGGAATTTGATTAGTAAAACTGAGAAGTAATGAAAGAGTAGAATTAAATAAGTGGACTTCTTCCCACTTCTTTTCGACGTGATAGAGCGATAGTTTTTTATTTTTAAGTTATTTTTCTTTGTTCTTCTTTATCTTTGGTTTCTCTCTTCTTTGCATTTAACGATTATCTGATTGTTCGAAATGAAACAAACAAACAAAGATCGAGTTACTGTACCTCTTTTTTTTTCTCTAACAGGATCGTTGTGCACGGAGACACGTTCAACAGAGCAGTCGTTCCCTCTTCAGCCCAGCCGTTTAATTTCCAGAAGGAATACAAACTAACAGAGGAGCAGGTAACTGTTCTGTGGTTCTACTCGTGCATAAATTATCACCAGAAATTAAATATATGAACARTAACAAAATAATAATATAAAGAAATGCAACAATAAACACAACAGAGACCAGAGAACAGTAGAAATGGCAACGATTTAAACAAATATGTGTGGTTGTGTCTGTATGGAGGACTGAAACTGACATAATTAGAAATAAAAGCAGAAATATATAATTGGACCAATAAATAAATAAACAAATAAATACACGTAAAATGCACTAATTAAAGGAGAACTTTATCTCTTTTTTTATAATTTGATTCACCTTCATTTTTTATTTTTCCAGCTTACTTATAATAAATTATATATTTTTGTGCATAATTTACATTTTACTGTTTTTAAAAAAATATATTTCTTATTTTTTCTTTTACTGGAAGATGCAAAACAAAGGCACAGGTAAGTGTTTTCCTCCTTGCCTTTGTTTTAAATTGAATTGTGAGCTTTAAGCTAAACAGATGAGGCACAAACGATCTGCACATGGCTCCTGCTCCTTCCTTTCTGTTGACCAATAGGAGAGAGCTAACCCAAGAAGCTCCGCCCACCTTATTTGAATAATGAGGCAGAAATGCACAAGGTAAAGTAAAAACAGGAGACAGAGAAATGTAAAAACAAAACATTGATATAAAAAGACTTGTGGGAAAAATGATTAAAAATGATTAAATATAATCATTTAAGAGACAAAAATGCAAGGAAAAAGAAAATATATATAACTTTAAAAACAGTAAAACGTAAATTATGTGCTAAAATATCTAATTTATTGGAACTAAGTTGGAAAAATAAATATAATGGTCAATTAAATTATAAAACATGAGGTAAAGTTCTTTTTAAATTTAATTGGTGCTTTTTAAGTGTATTTATTTATTGGTCTTTTTACATATTTCTGCTTTTTTTTCTAATTATGTCAGTTTCGGTCCTCCATATACTGTATGTGATGTGTTGGCACTCAGAGTATGTGTTGAGGGTGACTCTCAGCTACTACCATACCAAATTTCAGCTCATTATCTGTAAAACTGTCTGGGTTGTGACCACTTTCCTGTCGCTAACGTTGATTAGCTGCGGTGGCCATCTTGAATTGGGTTAACTTGGTTGTTCATCCAGTGATTATTTTCTGAATCAGAATCTTTATTGTCATTTTTGTTAAATACAACAAAATAATATTAAATCAGAAACATGAGCTTTTAATATGGCAACTAATCACTGAAAATATATTTATTATCAGTTTTTCGTCACTCATTTATTGATGTTTGTTTAGTTTATTTTCTGATTGTTCTTCAGGCGCTGGACATCAGCGATCATTACCCGGTGGAGGTGCTGCTGAGGGTGGTCAGCTCCAGAGCTTTCCCCAGAGGGTCTTCCTTTAAGAATCACTTTTCTCTGTTTGCCTTCATCCCACTCGTCCTCCAAGCTTTATTATGGTAAATAAATAAAGAACCTACAGGGTCTTTCTAACCTCTCAGATTGAGAATGATCAGGATATTTGACTTTATGAACTGATGATTCTCCAACACTTGGAGTCCAAATCACCAAACAGCACCGATGAGACTTTTAACAGAAATGAAGCAGAACCTTTGGACCTCCGTCTTCACGTTCATTAGAGGTGCTCCTAAAAGTTCATCTGAAGGATTCTYAGATTTGTCTTTTTAACTTATTCTCTTAAAATGTGTTCAAGGGAAACAAAAGTGTTAAAATCCAACTAAACCAGCAGCTGTAATTATTTATTATATTGTGTGATTTGTTGAATATGGTAAACATGTCCTAAACTTTATTGTGTTTGATGGTTTTATTTAAGAAAAGAATACAACTTCTTAATAAAACAAAAACAATATTTGTCTATTTTTTTATTTATCTTGTCTGTTTGCAAAAAGCATTTTGTGTCTCTTGTTTCTGTTTTCATTAGGTTAAAAAATTAACCCGATAAATAATTTTTAATATCTTTCAGTGTGTAACATAATAATAATAATAATAATAATAATAATAATAATGTGAGATGTTTTATTAAAGCATAGCTAAATATTTTGTTGTAGTTGACACAAATATGAAATAGAATATATAAATATGTCTGAAAAGTTTGATTTAAAAAAAAGTTATTTCTTGTTTACATGAATATGGTCTTTCTTTTGACCTAAAGTGTAAAAACAATAATAAACTTTAAAATTTGCTCTCTATATTTTTAGTTTTATGTAACTCCTGGCCAGAAAGGCCCTCATTCAACAAACTTGAAGTTGCCCACCGACCAGCAGTTGATTATCACAAATGGAGATTGTTTTGCAGCTCTGGACACATTTTATTAAGCTACGGAGCAGAAACATTTTTTTTTTGATCATAAATGTTGCAGACCCCTGTCGTAGGGGAGTCAGTTGGTGTTAAAGGTCGAGCCTGAAGATGGTGAGTACATCCTGAAACTTTGTTTTTTTATTGTAGTTATTTTAGTTGTTTCTCTGCTCTTCAGCAGTCTTTTAAGTTCTGCAGAAGCCTGTTGATCACTCATTAATTTAAATCAGGTGTGCCAAAGCAGGGACACAACTAAAACATGTAGGACAGTGGGTCTATCTCACTCTGGTGAGAGCCGCTGCACGCAGAGATGTTGAATGTCTCCATAAATCCATCGACGGGGACCGAAAACCCTGAGATGTTGCAGCCAACATGAAGGTGGTGCGTCTTCTGTTRCCTCAGCAGCTCTTATAGGCTCCCCTCCACTCAGTTACATTCTACTTTGCTTAAAGGAACACAAAGTCACTCGTGTTGTATTTCCCCTATCTAAAATAAATTAAAAATGAACACAAACAGAATAAAATTGTGCTTTACATGCATAAATTACAATATTTGGTTATTATTAAATGATGTAATTCTGGATTAAACCAAGACTGTAATGTAAATTGGACTCAAAACTCCTAAACTGTGTTTAAACACCACAAAAATCTGGTGACAAAAAGAAGAAACAAACAGATTTTATTTCATTTCCTCAAAACAAACATTTTTTACATAGACCATAAATATAACACACCAACTACAAGTGAGCATGTGTTAGTTAATTTATTCTTTTGTAAGCAAATTACTTATTTGTACAATGAAGTGTTTGAAATAATTGGTCTAAGCAGCAGATAAAAGGCTGCCTGGCTATCTAGACTACATCTAGATCAGAGCTTCACCAGCAGAAGGGGTCGCCATGCACACAGCAGAAGGTATTTGGGGGTAAATCTTCTAACTGCACAGGGAAGGTGTCAGCCCAGCACCAGCATGCTGTCTACTGTCACAGCAGGACAGAGATGAGTGTAGCTCAGCCTGCGACCCCTCCGCGAGATGTCCTAGCTGTCTGTTGAGGATGGCTACAAGGGTGGAGAGGAGAGGCAGTGAACCCGGTGGACAGGGGGCGGGAGTGTGTTTGGATGTTTGCAGCGGGTCAGAAAGATGGAGGGAGGGTGTATTCAGAAAACTGTTCACAGGAGGGTGGAGGAATGTCCATGAGTTTGATATAGTTTACTGCACATTCTCCATCATCTTGAGGAATTCTAGAAAAAAAAAAGATAAAGAACATCAATAATGAGGTGAAAATTAAATAATATTAATTAATGATCTGTAAACCACAGTTCAAATCTAAAATAAGCTTAATTACAGACAAGTAGCCAAAATAAAGGTCACAAAACCTCATTGAAACATTTAAATACTTTTTTGAATAATGTGTCACGGCATTTTATCCTAATTTTTACGCACATAAAACATTTATTTCGATTTTTACGCACAAAACTTTTCTTTATCCTAATTTTTACGCACATAAAGCTCCTCATTTTTTACGCACATAAAACTCTTCTGTATTCTAATATATACCCACATAAGACTCTTCTCTGTCCACATTTCTACACCCAGTAAACCCTCTTCATCCTTAATTTTACGCATATAAAACTTCTAAATTTTACGCAAATAAAACTCCTCTTTATCCTCATTTTACGCACACATAAAACCCCTCATTTTTACGCACATAAAACTCTTCTTTATTCCAATATTTACGCACATAAAACTCTTCTCTATCCACATTTTTACACCCATTAAACCCCTCTTTATCCTTAATTTTACGCATATAAAACTTCTAATTTTTACGCACATAAAACTCCTCATTATCCTCATTTTCACGCACGTAAAACTATTTATCCTAATTTTTACGCACATAAAACTCTTCTCTATCCTTATTTTTACGCACGGAATACTCGCTATCCTAATTTTTACGCACATAACTTTTTTATGCTCATTTTTGCCACACATCAGACTTCTTTATCCTAATTTGTGCGCATCATTAGGCACATACCGTCAAAGTCCAGCATGCCATCAGCGTTTTTGTCTCCATCCTTCAACAGCTCGTCGATCTCATCGTCTGTGATGGGCTCACCGCCGCTGCGGATGATCAGAGCGAATTCGTCTCTGTCAATGTAGCCGTCACCGTTCCTGCGAGAAAGACGAAAAGAAAAATAAGTTGGCTGGTAAAGCGGAATTATAACAAGGCTACACAACAAATCAGAAGAGGTTGGCTCTCATCCGAGCCACACCGTCTCAGAGGACGTACTTGTCGAACACACGGAAGCATTCTGCCAACTCTTCCTCACTCTTGCCAGCCTGGTCCTCCTTGAGCAGCCTCACCATCATGACCAAGAACTCCTCGAAGTCGATGGTACCGCTACCTGGGGGTATCAATAAGCCGCATGATTACTCACCTATTGTGAGACTAATTATCAGGTCAACGCTCCTTGTTGCGCACAAATTTATCAATGAACACAATGGAACTCTAATTAATCGCATGTGTAAATGGACTTATTACATCGTCAAGCAGAAACGGGGATATTAAACATCACTCCTACTTTTTTCTCTCTCCCTTCTTACAAAGGGCGCATTTTCAGTGCGTAAAACAATCGTTACGCACAGCAGATGTCGCTGTTAGAAACCAACACTGTTATTTATTTGTTTATTTTTGCTCACCGTCCTCATCGACCTCCTCGATGATTTCATCCAACTCCTCTCTTGTCGGATTCTGGCCCAGCATCCTCATCACGGTTCCCAACTCCTTGGTGCTGATGTCACCGCCACCGTCAGTGTCGAACAAGTCAAAGGCGGCTTTGAACTCTGGAGGGAAAACAAGATCAAAACGTGTTTCTCTGCTTAGAATTATCCCATTTTATCCGCACGTTCACCCAATTACTCTGGATTGTGACCATTTAAACCACTGAAATCAGAAACTTTCTGTGTTTTTGGAGGGTTCATGCAGTCATAATTCGGTGCGTAACTACATAAATAAGGTTACTGTTCATTAGATGGATTTATTTATTGCTCAAGTTGTGCCAGGACGAAAAAGATATGATTTAAGGGACAAAAAAAAAAAAAAAAAGGAACAAAACAGAATTATGTTTTGTATAGTGGTATTAATTTATATTTTCAGATCTTCCAAGGTGCCAATTATGGAACTCTCTGTGCATTGCTGTCCAAATCAAATTCTGGAAGTGGTCAACTTTTAAAAACTGTTACGGCCAGAGGTCTTTCTTCTATGTTTATACTAAACATGGAATGACATTCCTCAAAACATAAAGTCCATTTCAAAACTACAGCCCTTTAAGAAGAATCTTGTCTGCCATCTGCTGGACACTTTTTGTTGTGCTCATATTTAGACGTCCTATGTTGCAAATGCTGCCTTTTTGAAATTTGGTATGCTTGTTTGTCTTTGTGTCTATGGTGTATAATGATGTGATTGTGATGCTGTATTTCTGAGTGTTTTATGTGCTGCAGAACAGGAACSTGCTGTAAAACAGCAATTATGCTGAGTCAGGCTTGATTTTTAATAATCTTTTCCTGTTAAATAAATCAAATCAAATCAAGTTTCTGCACTCACCAGCCAACATTTCCTCGCTCAGGTAGGAGCGGGCCTCTTGTTGCGCRTCAGTCTAGAAAGCAAACAGGTGTTAGATCATTACAAAAGTCCTTCAAGCTTTTGTTGTTCCAGTTCTTTTTATTTTCAGCTAAGCTAAACCTGAAGCCACTGAGATGCTAAAGATGTCATTATTTAACAGGCTTCTGCTACAAATCCTTTATTAGCAGTTTATTAAATGTTCTGTGAGTGTTTGGAACAAATGACGAGCAGAGGCTCATCAGGTGAAAAGTACAAGTGCTCAAAACTTCGAAGTGGAACTTTAACTTTTCATTTCATGAAACAAGAACAAGAAAACAAAAATCAAATGTTGTGGCATAAAGTGGCCCTGTCTCAAAAAGGTGAAAATTATCCCGGCTATTTCAGGCTCAACACATTAGGTTCACTGTATAAGGCCTGCAGACATGCAATCCCCCTGGAATCTGAAACCTAAGCAGAATCCAGACTTTCTCAGAGCATCCTGCTCAGCGTCAGCACACAACTTACAGCTTTGAATTTCTGCAACTTATGAATGTTAATCTAAGTAAAAATATGTTATTTTTTAGAAATTGTAAAATAAATGAACAAAAATGTGCTTGATGCATTATTTAAGTACTTAAATATAAAATAATAGGTAAGGAGGTGAATGTAACTTAAATCATCAGTTCCATCTCTGACCATTAAAAGTACAATAAACCCAGATTTCAATTCAATTCAATTCAATTCAAAAATACTTTATTGATCCCAGAGGGAAATTAGGTAACTCAGCCAAACATTTTCTACATTTTTCACAATCACTCAGTCCTTAACAGAGTGTGGGTTAATCCCTGTTGCATGCATTTAGATAAATCTAGAACAGTTAAACTGATAATTTGTAAACTTTTATCTCTCACCATGTTTCYGGATTAGCTTCCCCACCCAAATATCCAAGGGTAAAAGAACGGTCCAAAGGAGTGGTCAATCCGTGTGCACCCCAACAGAGAGACTAGACATCAAGACAAGATTCAGACTCACTTTAAGCAAGACACCTAAGCCCTGCCCACTGCCTCTCACAGGACTCCAGATTTAGTATCCTGAGCTTTTAGGGTTCTGGGTCCAGATCAAGAGCCAATCACACCTTGGACAGCGAGCCTGTAGTTGAAGCTCCGTGCTTTAGAAAGTGAGTAAAGCCGGTTTATTAAGCAATTTTTTAAATCTACTTCAGATTATTAAAGTTTTAGGAAAGAAATCCAAAAAAAATCCTACTTGTTTTTCAGAGTAAACGTCATCAGATTTGCCCAAATAAGTCAAATGTAAAGAATTATTCTCCCTGAGGAGCAACTTTAAAATAAAATGTTTCCATAGATGCTCTTTAGAAAAGTCTCAAAGCAATTTGATGTGCTGGTGACATCCTAAAATACTCATTTAAACTAAAAACAACCAAAAACTGGACTTTTTGCAAGCTTTAAGGCAAAGTTTCAAAGGAAAGGGAAGCCTCTGCATTCAGTATTTGTTAGATTTCTTAGCAGATTTTGTGATGAGAATGTTTTAATCTGAGTGTGAAACTTGAAACCAGGAGAAAAATTTGGGTTAGGAGCCCATCTAGGACCCCTCCCTGAATAATTTCAGAATAAGTGGGGGGGATCTGTGTCACCTGATGAACACAACCTGATCTGTTTAGTTCAGCTTGTGGGGGGATGCTGAGCATTGAGACCCCAGGAGGAAAAGGGGAGGTTTTTTTTTTTTTTTTGGTTTGAGCTTGCAGGTTAAATACTGCGAGGGAGACGAAATTTTTCCAACAGGAGAAACCAGACGGCTGCTTGGCTCCGGGTCACTGATGTTTGAGGACGACTAACAAACAGATAAACTCGTGGAGGAAATCAGATTCTTTTTTTTAATTCTTGAAAATTTTTTTGCCAGGTTTGATAGTTTTCTTGTGTCAGATGAAACAGTGAAGCCATCAGGCAATAAAAACCAAGATGACAGCACAGTTGTGCACGAACTTAACTGAGGCGGTGTGTTTGAGAACCAGAAACTAAAGTCTGAATCATAGGAAATGTGAGACAGAGCAAAGAGTCGACAGGTAAGGCATGCAGATTAATTTGCCAGAGGAACAACAAAAGTCGAGGAGCAAATCTGTTTTATTAGGAGCTTAGATCAGGTTAGAACAGTTCTGAAGGTAAAACAGGAGGTGGTGGGG